TGAGGTCCAATATAATTTCAGTCAATTTTAAGTCTAATATAAATTGATTCAAATTGAGGTCCAATATAATTTCAGTCAATTTTAAGTCTAATATAAATTGATTCAAATTGAGGTCCAATATAATTTCAGTCAATTTTAAGTCTAATATAAATTGATTCAAATTGAGGTCCAATATAATTTCAGTCAATTTTAAGTCTAATATAAATTGATTCAAATTGAGGTCCAATATAATTTCAATCAATTTTTAGTCAAATACAATTTCACTCAATTTTAAGTCAAATTTTAGTCAAATGTAACATGACACCAATTACAAATTTTCTAACATTTCAAGCAACACTTTAACATCAATTTTAAAAATTGATATTCGTTGTGAAGTCTCTTGTACATCCGCCCCTGTACGAAAAATCGCGGAATCCGCTCGAATTCCGCTTCGCGAGGATCGTGGCGACGAAACCGATCGTATTACCCTCGTTTGCTGTCGAAACGAAGATAGGAATAGGCTCGTTGTCGTTAGTATTCATCTTTCTTTTTATCTACGACGCGAACATCGTGTCGTGACGATGCCAAAATAGTATTAAAACAATGGTAAACATAGGTAAATTAGAAGAAGAGTGAACAAAAGGAAAATCACTCGATAGATATCCTGCGAACTATGCGAAAGATCGTTCGCTTTTCTTTCTCTTAGAACAAGGGGAAAATTATCAGGGACGGCGGATACTAATTTGTTTTTTTTTACGCTTTCGCAGAATTTTTTGGGAGAATTTTCGGATTTGAACATTTGGACATTTTTGAAATTGGAAAATTGGAGGATTTGGGAATTTGGGGATTTTGGGAATTTAAGGAGTTGGAAATTAGGGATTTGGAAATTTAGGGATTTTGGGAATTTAAGGAGTTGGAAAATTGGGGATTTGGGAAATTAGGGATTTGGGAATTTAGAGATTTGGAAATTTGAAGAGTTTGGAATTTAGGGATTTGGAAAATTAGAAATTTGAAAATTTAAGGATTTGGGAAATTGGAAATTTAGAAATTTGGGAATTTGGGAATTTGGGAATTTGGGAATTTGGGAATTTGGGAATTTGGGAATTTGGGAATTTGGGAATTTGGGAATTTGGGAATTTGGGAATTTGGGAATTTGGGAATTTGGGAATTTGGGAATTTGGGAATTTGGGAATTTGGGAATTTGGGAATTTGGGAATTTGGGAATTTGGGAATTTGGGAATTTGGGAATTTGGGAATTTGGGAATTTGGGAATTTGGGAATTTGGGAATTTGGGAATTTGGGAATTTGGGAATTTGGGAATTTGGAAATTTGGGAATTTGGGAATTTGGGAATTTAGGAATTTGGGAAATTGGAAATTTAGGAATTAGGGAATTTGGGAATTTGGGAATTTGGGAATTTGGGAAATTGGGAAATTGGAAATTTAGAAATTTGGGAATTTGGGAATTTAGAGATTTGGAAATTTAGGGATTTGGGAATTCAGAGATTTGAAAATTTAGGGATTTAGGAATTTAGGGATTGGGGAATTTAGGGATTTGGAAATTTAGGAATTTGGAAAATTAGAAATTTGAAATTTAGCGATTTGGGAATTTAGAAATTTAGGGATTGGAAAATTTGAGGACTTGGAAAATTAGAAACTTGCAAATTTAGGCAATTAAAAACTCAGAGAGTTACAAGTTTCAAAATTTGCAAACTTCAGAATTTACTGATCTACTTTCAAACTTAATTTACTCCTAACTTCCAAAAATAGTAAAACCACAATACTCCAAACAATCATAACTACAAAATATCTCCGCGCGAAATATCCGAAAGTTCCCTAAACCGCCGTCCCTGGCATCCCGCGAGAACGTTGCCAATTTTTGTATTTCGAAAAGAAACGGTTCGAAAGAGGGTCACGAAAAAAACTAACAGAGACTCGAGTTGTACGGATGCTAACGAGCGAAGCGAAATGAGAGAAGAAAACAAAAATAGAAAGAAAAAGAGGTTGAAAGCTGTATTTTTTCTTCCAATGCCAAAAAGATGCCATTTTGTTTTGTACGAAAAAAGCAATGAAAAAATAAACAAAAAAAAATAGAAGTTGAGAGAGAGAGAGAGAGAGTGTGTGACAAGCAGATGATGGAGGTAGTGGAAGGTTGAAGCGAATCGCGAGGGTGAACAAATTTTTTAAATAGTTTGTAGCGAGCGTATATTAGATGTAATTCGATACAAATACAAGAAACGAAACAAACACACACACAGACACACTTACACGTACACACGAATGTATATCTGGTGAGAATGATAATATAATAAAACACTTGTCCGCCTTATGAAGCAGAATTAACAATAGGTAATTGATTACTAAAAAAGCAGATCGAAAAAGCAAAAGCAAAGGTAATTAAGTAAAGTAATTGTAGTTTGAAAGGATGGTGGAACGGTAAATAAAATAAAAATGGTAGATTGTAACGAGCATCAGAGATTTAGCCGAGGTGCGAAAATCGTGAGACGCTCGCCGCGTATTTATATATAAATATATATATATAAAAAGAAAGAGGAATTTAGAAGAAATATATACGTGTCCGGTATCGTTACAGAAAAGTAAAAATGCAAATAAAAAAGCGGAGAGAGAACGAAAGATCGCTCACAATTTTTGCACGTTGGTACCAAAACTTCCCCTTCGGGTCTCCCCAAAAACACCCCCACCCCCGAGATAGGGCATACGAAAGAAAAAAAAAGCATAGCGTTACGTATACACCGGTTGCATACATATATGTGTACATATATTTTTGGATAAAGAGCCGTGAGAAGAAAAAAAGAAATTTTTAAATCGAAATTCGGGCCCGCGCGCGAACACGGAGTCGTCCCGTTGGATCGTTTCTCGTTGGATCGCGATCGTCGAGCTAAAAGAAAATTTTAGAAAACGACACTTTCGACGGAGTTTATCGAACGGTTTCGACGATCGACGAGCACCGGGAAATTCTGCTTACTCTCTCTCGGACGCGCGAAAAGACGTACAAAATGAAGATATTAAAATGGCGGGGGACATTTAATGGCGCGATCCATCGGGACAACGTTCCGCGTCGCGAGGGCCCCGAGATGTATTTATGAATATTTATTTACGCGAGATTAAACGAGACGAAAGAAAAAAAGATGATGAAAATGATGAATGGAAGAAAATCTAATATATTGACGATTTAAAGATAGATGATCGTAAGTGTAAGATGTAAGTTTTATAATGAAGATAAAAAAAATATATATATATACCGATTATATATATATATAAATATATATATAAATATATTTACTTGTAAAGTGTTTTAATAATGCCTTTCGCCATGTTCGATCGCGCCAAAAAATGAAAGGATAAATGAGAACAAGCGAAAGGAGTAGCGAAGCAATGTGAAATTCTCGACTCGACGTAAAAAACGAAAATATCGATCAACGGTGAGAGTGAAAGAATTATAACGTCGAGGGTATCTTCGATTTCATTGTAATTGTGACGATGTATCTTTTTTATTATTAATATTATTATCATTATTATTATTATTAATATTAATATTATTATTATTACTATTATTGACATTATTAGTTTTGTTTTTTTTTTCACTACACGTTTGGTTCTCCGTATTATGTTTAAGGATAAAAGAGAATTGTCGAACGATATCCACGTGCGTTTCGATCGACACGAATGTGGACGACGAAGTACACGTGGATGGAAAATGGAAAAATACGGAAAACGCGGGTGCGCTTGAGCGATGAAAATCATACACGATTACACGAGTAACACATTGACACACGAACGAATACACGTACAAAACCCATATGATCATACACTACATGCGAGAACACACACATACAGTATGCTTAGAGTTTAGTAGCGATTCATTAGACGATAAGCGATAGAGTAATTTAAACTGATCATTGCTATCGATGACTATTATTGACATAAGAGTACATTTAGACGAAGAATATGTTATAAGTAAGATGTAATTGTCCTTTGTGAATATACATAAGAGAGAAATGAGAAATACAAAAAACTTTTATGATAAACAGAGTTCATCATTTTAAACGTCTACCTACGTTTGATGATAATTAATATAATTTTTATAATAGTAAGATTCTTTTCAATTTTTTATATTGACTCAATTTGTAGATACATTAAGTACATTGTACAAGTATGTCTTTAATATGGTGATTCTTTTGGACGTTGTTAGATGCATTTTTAAATTTGCTACTTTTTAAATTTATTATTTTAAATTACAGAATTTGAAATTTTCAAGATTGGGAACTTGAGGACTTGAAAATACCTTGATTTTTAAATTTGTAAATTACTTCATTGCTAGGGTCTGAATTCCTAAATTTCATATTTAAAAATTTCAAAATTATAAATCTTTAGGTGTGAAAATTTGCTAGTTTAACATTCTTGAATTTGCAAATTGAAATTTTCTAAATCTAGAATTTAAACATTTAGAATATTTAAATTTGATAGTTCCATACGTGAAAACCTGGAACTAACAAGTTTTCAAATATTAACAATGATAACTAACTATAATAAGAAAAATGTGGTATCAGCATCCACGAAGGTCTACAAATCGGAATCTGCCATATAGCGAGACTGCATTATGTCACTCCCTTCATTACCAACAAAGCAATTGGAATGTATCACACCATGTACTGCAGGACATCTTCATTAAGATCTTTGGACATTATTTCCATGTAGATATTTTACATATGAACCGTCGGCAAAGCAGGAATCATCTGAAAATAGTATATTTTTTTTAATCTATTTTTACAGATATTTCCTTACTTAAAAAAGGAACTTATTTACAAAATTTGACGTGATTAAGAACATGATGATTTTTCGAAATTTAAATAATGAAACATGTGGCGCCGTCATGCGGCATTTGTATGAACTAATGAACCTGCTGTCTCAAAAGTGTGTAGTTCACCCTGTTCGCCGGAGAGATGGCGCCACTTGTTCAATTTTTTTTTTTAATTTAATTAACACTGATTTTATTGATTAATATGCTGTATATTCACTATATACTCATTAATATTGATTTTATACTGCTTATGACATATTCTGTAGGTCTTAATATGAGGATTATGTATTCAGAACAGTTTGCATACTATGCTGTATCTCGTCGGTAATATAGAGAATAACACTGCAATGATAAAAGCTTTTCGTTCGAAAAAACGTTCTCACAGATGTTTCTTTTTAAAAAAAGAACTTGTTTACCAAATTTAGCTAGAATCGACTCGTGATAGCATTCCAAAGTGTCTCCAATGATAGTTCCAAATAAATCTTCATCAATTTATATGATTTTAAAGTTCATTGACTTTTACCATGTTGCAAAATTATTACAGCATGCACAAAAAGCTGATTCTCTCTTTCACGTCGACATCAAAATTTTACTATCATTTCTTTCAAAGAAATGTCATTTCTTCCGCATAAATAAAAACAAGAGAAACTTTGTATCTCTTTCTTCTGACTCTTCTAGCCATTGCTCTGTAATATCATTTCTAACAACTCATATTTATTGCTTTCCCAACAGTTATCCAAAGAATGGGAAGAAATGTAGAATCGCATTTATCCTTGGCATTTAAGTGGTTTTCTGCCAATCCCTCAGTTCCTATCACATACCTGTAACATTATTCATTTAGAAGATATTCACACGTTCTAGCTTTCCATTTCATCCTTACCCCTTTTACATTCTGTTTCCCTGTACATTATGATTATAATATCAATTGGTATTCAAGTATTATTTTTAGAATATTGAATTTTAGAACTGAGTGTTACAGTATTCTGCAGTACAATGCGATGTAATGCAAGTCGTCGTATAATCATGCACCCTGTCTTACTGCAATGTGTCGTCATACAACATGGCAATATAGCGCGTGGCAATATAATGCTTGATCCTATAACAAATCGAAATAGATACAATATAACATATCCTCAAAGATGCAATATAATAAGGGTCAACCATGGATGAAAACAATCTGACTCTTCCTTTGACAAACAAAAATTCTAGATATATAAATTTGAGGTTATATACCCCTCCATCCAAGAACAATTCGCATACATCTTTTCTTATTATTCTCCACCCAGCATCATCCAAATACTAATTTCTCTGGAATCATTGTTTGTGCTCGCATAATATTTCTGCTTTCTCTGTCCTCTTTCTCGGACAACCTCTATCAACCAGTCTGGAAGACCCGAGTTTCCGTTCACTTCCTTGTACGATAACCTCTAACAGGAAAATTCCAGCGTATTCGCGCGGGCCGTAGAATAAAAAATGTTTCTTTCCGTATTACATTCCGGTACCAGTATAGAATCAATGATCCATGGCGTAGGCGAAGACAATTCGAATAAATCGGTTCCTTCCATTACCGATTACCTGCAAAGGATTCTCTGATTAGAAATGACGCAATGGTAATTTCCTAGTTATACGACCAGTTAAAATGGAAATGCGTTGCTCGTGAATTTTATATCTTACTTCTTCATCTTGCGAATTAGAGAATGGATTGCGTGTATGACTCGAGAACAAATTAATGACACTCGGGATTTCCTTATACATATACATTTGAACATAAATAATTATTTGTAAATTTGATTTTCATTATTCTTAACTCTGCATGGTTTCACTCTTCTTTAGGACTCCAATTCAAAGTTGTAGTATATCTGGAAATATATGCGTACGATAGAAGAATGTCAAGATTTAAGGATATATTGGAGGGTACTGTAATTTGGGAATATTTAGCTATAGGGGTATTGTGTGATATGGGGATCTGGAGAGATGGGGACTTAGAGAGATGGGGACTTAGGGAGATGGGGACCTAGGGAGATGGGGAGTTGGAGAGATGGAGACTTAGGGAGATGGGGACCTAGGAAGATGGGGACCTAGGGATATGGGGACCTGAAGAGATGGGTACCTAGGGAGATAGGGATCTGGAGAGATGAGGACTTAGAGAGATGGGGACTTAGGGAGATGGGGACCTAGGGAGATGGGGAGTTGGAGAGATGGGAACTTAGGGAATTGGGGACCTAGGGAGATGGGGACTTGGAGACATGGGGACTTAGGGAGATGGGGACTTAGGGAGACGGGGACCTAGGGAGATGGGGAGTTGGAGAGATGGAGACTTAGGGAGATGGGGACCTAGGAAGATGGGGACCTAGGGAGATGGGGATCTGGAGAGATGGGGACTTAGGGAGATGGGGACCTAGGGAGATGGGGAGTTGGAGAGATGGAGACTTAGGGAGATGGGGACCTAGGAAGATGGGGACCTAGGGAGATGGGGATCTGGAGAGATGGGGACTTAGGGAGATGGGGACCTAGGGAGATGGGGAGTTGGAGAGATGGG